GGCCGCGGCCGTGACCCCCCGCGGCGGTCCGGCGCCCAGCACTCCCATTCTCCTCGCCGGCTGCGGGAGGCTGCTCTCTCCTCCCGCTCCGCGTTGTCCTCCACTGATTGTCTCCCCCGCCTTCCTCCCTCCCCCACTCCCGCGCCGCCCGCCCTCCTCCCCGCCATTCTCCTCGCCGGCTGCGGGAGGCTGCTCTCTCCTCCCGCTCCGCGTCGTCCTCCTCTGATTGTCTCCCCCGCCTTCCTCCCTCCCCCACTCCCGCGCCGCCCGCCCTCCTCCCCGCCCTCCTCCCCTCCCGCAACCTGCCGGCGGCGGCCACCGGGTCCTCGCGCTCCGGAGCTGTCGGGACAAGGGGACCGCCGACCTGATCGAGGTGGCGGTGATTGTCGCTGACCCGGAAGGAGCTTGGCTCTCCAGAAGGAGGGGAGGATTAATGACAAAGACTGTCCTGCTCTTTCCCATTCATTCCAGCCCTCGGAGACGCACCTAGTGTGAACAAGGCGAATGGGGGAAGGCGCGCGACCGTGCGTGTGAGTGTGTGTGTGTGCGCGAGCGTGTGAGTGCCGGGAGGGGAGCGGCAGCGGCGACAGACGTGCAGTCTCACCCTCAATAGATTTCTTAAAAAACTAAAAAGAAAGGGGCCGCAGGGAGCAAAGGACGGAGGAACAAGCCTTAGCTGCTTCTTTGCAGTAAGGGATTGATTTTTAAGGGGTCAGGGCTTCATTTTTTTGCGGATCCAGCTTGTCGCTGAGGTGTGTCACCGTGCGTGTGGCCGCCTGGGCGTCCAGAACACGGCGTGCACTTCAGCGTGTGGGGCGTTGTATTCCAGAAGCCTGTGTGTGCTCACGCTAAGGGTGTGCGCAGCTGTGCCCAATGAATCAGACATCGAAGATGGAAAACACCTGTTCCTGTGGGTTGTCAAGCTTGGCGTGCACACGGTCTAGTTTCCACTTACAGGACAGTTCTGTGCCCTTCCTGAGTGGCTCCACTCCTTCCTTCATTCTTTCAGTCGACTCTGATTATTAGCCGTTTGTTGGGGGATTTGCTGAGGTCGAATCACTCTTCTTCCCTAAGAAACTTGCCGTCTACAAGGCGAGCTACACCATTCACCCGTAGAGTCACTGGACCAGGTAGAGATTGCTAGATCTTACTGTGGAGCCCTTAGGAGGGAAGAAGTGGCTTTTTGAATAGGGGTTGATCAGGAGGCTGTATGGAGAAAATAGCGTTTGAGGGCCTAGAAGGATGAGGAGGGTTTGGGCATAAGGAAATAGAAGGAGTGCCACAGCCAGAAGGGGGAGACGGAGCAGTCCTGATGTTGGAAATCTCAAAGTCTGTCTAGGACACTGTGGTTTGAATTTGTGGCCTGAAGAGAAGTAGTGCAAATGACTGGGCTGGATTATGGAGGCTTTCTGATGAAGAGGGTGGATTGGGTTCTGTAGGCACTGGAGAAGGCCGGCATAGTTTTTAGTGCTCTCCTCCTCCTTTACAATGCTAAGAAAAAGAGTAGTTCCCAGACCTGCAGTGTCAGCATCACCTGGGAAAATGTTAGAACTGCATATCTCAGGGTCCCGCTCTAGAGCTACTAAATCAGGAACTCCAGGGGCTGAGTCCCACAACGGACTGGGTCAGGTGCGCCGCTCCAAAGCCTTGCTACTCAAAGTGCAGGCCTTGGGCCAGGAGCATCAGCATCACTCAGGAGCCTGTTAGAAATGCAGACTCTGCAAAATCCTAGACCTACTGACCCAGAAGCTGCATTTAAACAAGATTACCAGGTGATTCATATGCCTGTTAAAGTAGTGGAAGGAACTACTCCAGAAATTTTGGAAGATAAGGAAAAATATAAAGACGAAACCCCCAGTCTACACCCAGTTACGTCTTTTGTTAACATTTTGATGTAATTCCTACCAGTTGTTTTGTAAGCATCTATATTTGTGCAAAATGCTCTTTTAACAAATATAAGTGATGTGGGACAACTTGCATAGTTGGTTTTCTGTTCTTTTTACTTTACATGTGATTAAAAGTTCTTTGCCAGCCTCGTTTTTAGTGGCTGTATAATATTCCATTGTATATGTGCCGCAGTGTATATAACCATTTTACTATAGTCAGACAGATTTTCTTATTGTAAATAACATGGAAATAATAAAAAAATAATAGATATTGCTTACATGTAGTGCTTACATTGTGCCAGACATCAGATTAAATACTTTACATATAATAATTCATTTAATCCTCATAATAGCCTGGTGATGTGTTTTTATTATCCCCATTTCAGATACCAGGTCACAGACCCTTGCCTGAAATCACACTGCTAAGAAATTGTGGAGCTGGGATTTAAATTCTAACAATCTGGCTCCAGATTCTGTGTTCTTAACTATTGTTACACTTAAATGTTTGTCCTAATTTATTTTTACTTACAATTATTATGTCAGTTTTTAAGAAAGTCTTGAAACACTTTGTCACCTTGCTTTTTATTTATTTATTTTGAGACAGAGTCTCATTTTGTCACCTTCAGTGGAGTGCTGTGGAGGCATAGCTCACAGCAACTTCAAAGTCTTGGGCTCAAGTGATTCTCTTGCCTCAGCCTCCTGAGTAGCTGGAATGACAGGCGCCTGCCAGAATACCCAGCTGTTTTTAGAGACAAGGTCTCCCTCTGGCTCAGGTTGGTCTTGAACCTGTGAGCTCAGGCAATCCACCCGCCTTGGCCTCTGAGAGTGCTAGGATTACAGGCATAAGCCACTGCATCCGGCCTCACCTTGCTTTTTAGAAAGGTTGTACTAACTTGAGCTCCCTCTATCAATGTTTCACAGCATCAAACTTTTAGTTAAAGTGAATTTAAAAAAAAAGTCCACCACAAAAATGGAAAAGCAAGTATCCAATGTACACAATACTAATGTGAAACCAATAGATAAGCAACTACACCCCCACATGAGTAAAAAACACAATTACATTCAAGTTGGGGAGAGGAGAGGAAGGAGGGGGATTGGTAAACTCTCACCTAATGGGCACAATGTAAGGGTATACAGCACACCCCCTGGAAGACGGGCTCGACTACAACTTGAACTTTAACAAACACGAACGATGTAAACTAATTATTTGTACCCTTATATAAATCTGAAATAAAAAATGTCTAATAAATGAAAAACATATGTTGAATTAACTGCAATATCTACTGAGATCTCTTTAATTATAAGGATGACTATTTTTCATATGTAGAGTTGGCCTATATAGAAAACTGAGGGGTTTTACTTGGACACAATTATTTTATAGTTCCTTACTTTTGTAAGTGTTTTAACATCTTTAGTATCATTTGATCCTCACATTGGCACCAGAGAGGGTAAATGATTCTCTACTCGGTGAATTTGCAGAAAAGTGAGGAACTATAAAACAATTGTGTGCAAACAAAAGCCCTCAGTTTTCTACATATGGCAACTCTACATACGAAAAATATTCACCCTTATAATTAAAGACATCTCAGTAAATATTGCAGTTAATTCAATATAAACGAGACATCATATTAGTTTATTGGTTAAGAGGCTTTGGACTCAGACAGGTGTGGGCTGGAATTTTATCTTTGCTACTTACTGGGCAAGTTATTCAACTTCTGGAAACCTCAAATTTTCTCACTTATTAAATGGAAATACTATTTATTTCATAGGGTTTTTGCAAACTACACTGGAAGTACTCAACAGATGGTGACTTTATTGGTCATTAAATCCTGTCTTTATTGGCTCCCATAATGATATTGTGGCAGGATTCTAGTTAACCCATAAATATTTGCCAACCTCTAGTCATTTTTACTTTAATAGATGGCATGACGTAGAGCAAAGAGAAGACATTGAGGACTGGAGTGTTCTGCATTTTCATTGTTACCAGTGCTTAAAGTGACTTAGGCAGGAAGAGTTACAGAAGAAGATGGGAAGGTCTTGGACGAAGATCTAGGCTTGGGACTGGGCTACTGTCAGAAATAAGACACAAATTAGGTCACAATGGTCACAACTGTTTACAGGTGAGAAGTACTGTTGGGCCAAGTTGCTTTTTATTTTCCTACTGTGTCCTGGCTTAACAGAACCATATTTTGTTCTTAGACTTTGGGCTTGAGGACGAGAGAAATGGAACCCACTATTACTACCTTGTGTGTGAAACAGAAGTCGACACAAGAGCTGCTTAGTACTAGCCTAGATGAGGGAGAGCATGAATGGGAATATTCTGGGTAGGGGAATGGAGTGAGAGGAGAAGTACGCTGCCCCTCTGTCCTGCTCTGCAGAGCTGTGTATGCGTGTCTGGAATTGTTTGCTTGTTTTTAGTATGCTTCTATCTCTGTCTAAGCTACTCATTGGTACATGTGTTCTGGCTTCTCAGAAATGATCTCCTCCCTTCAGTTGGAGTTAAATAGATGCCAGTAAGAATAATTAAAACTTTCCTTCATTAAGTATTGACCATATGCAGCGCACTATTTTAGGGAGTGAGCAAAGATCCAACTGACAAAAAAATTGAGCGTGAATTTAGGAATCAGAAACTCAGTGCTTCTCAAACTTTAATGTGAGTATGAATCACCTGACGATTTTACAGCTCTCTGAGTCTGTTCTTCTAGGATAGGGCCCAATATTGTTCATTTCTAACAGGCTATCGGGTGATGCTGACATTGCCCACATTTTGAGGAACAAGTGTTTAGAGGAAAGGTGAGCTCCATATGTCCCCTTCGCTCCTAGTTTTCACCTAGGTGAAGTTGTTCAGTAGGTTGGTCAGCTTCCAGGAAATTAATTGGTCTACATTTAACAAGAGCAGAATTAAGAACCTTCACTCAGATTTCTCTTTTATT